ACATACACTAAAATCCTAAGACGGAAAACCTAGGGGTTAGTACCATTCAGAGATAGGCATGGGCAACGACTTATGGTCTACAACCCCCAAGCGGGCAGCAAAGCCAAATTGCAAATGGGATTGCTCAGCTTAACTAGAGACTTTTCCGCATAAAAGAATACATCATTGAGTGAGACACGGCAAGACCTACGAATGGCGAGGAAATTTGTGCAAATCATATCTCTGACAACAGGCTCTCTCCAGAACTCAAAGAAACTCAAAAATTTACAGAAAAAACAAACAACCCATCAGAAGTGGGGCACAAGGATACTGACAGACATTTCTAAAGGAATTTCATACATGCGATCAGCACATGGAAAAATGTGTCATCATCACTGGCAGTTCAGAGGAGATCTGCAATCAAAGACCACAATGCGATCCATCTCACCACCAGTTAGATGGGCATATTAAAAAGTCAGGAAAAACCAGGTGCTGGAGGAGGATGTGGAGAATAGGGAACCACTTTTACACTGTTAGGGTGGAGATTGTAAGCGAGTCTGGCACCCATTATGGAAAAAGGGGGTGTGTGGTGGCTGATTCCTGCAAGGATCTAGAACTAACTGTACCATATGACCCAGCAGCTCACCATACCTGCGGGTAATACCTCAACGGTTATAATTATGCTGCTAAAGGACAATGCACACGTGATTTTATTGCAGCACTATTACAATAGCAAGAATTGGAAATCAACCAAATGGTCATCAGTGACAGATTGGAGTAAGAGAGGTCGTGGACATATCAACCATGGACTACTTACTGCCGCCCATACAAAAAGATGATGTTTGTGTCCGCTTTGTGTAGGGGAATGGATGCAGGCTGGACACAATGCTTTCTTAGAAACTTCATCACAGAGACCAAAAAGGAATGTGTCTCCTCAGTAGGTGGACTGGGACGAAGTGAGATCACCTTGGCTCTGGACATGGGGAAATCACCACGGCTCTCATGGGAGGCGAGGAGGATGCAGGTTGGCGAGTTATAGATGTACGGTGACGAGTTGGAGCAACATGGCACAGTATACATATGTAACAAACCTGCACGTTATGCACTTGTACCCTACAACTTAAAGTATAATAATAATAAATAAATTAAAAAAAAAAAAAAATTTGGTAGATTAATGAATGTGATTCTGACTATAGAAATCAGTCTTTCTCACTGAAATTTTAAGATAGTTATACAAATTTTGTTATGATTCATGGTTAGTTATCACTATGTAAATCATCTAATGTTACCTATTTAAAATATTTTAATACTTGCTACAAATTATAACATCTTGTCACATGTTCTGTGTATCCACTGGGATAGCAGAAATTAATAGGAGATTTCTGAACATTGCCTATATTAGATTGGGGAAAGCATATAACCATGTTTACTTTATTTATGCTGATGAGCATTTCGCAGTTGTAAAAGAATACATTTATAGTACAATTGCTTGTAAAAATCCATGTATTAAAGGAAATATAATAATACTCAGTGGACATTTTATCTTAGATAATGAGTATCTTGATATTAACATATCTTTAATAATAATATACATGTCTTTATTATTAGGATTATCTTCCTACAGACTGTATTTTTTAATGTTTCATTATTATTCTATTAGCAGTGCCAATTTACACACTCAAATTAATTCAATCTATTGGATTCAAACCCATTTGCAAAATGTTTTTTCATTTGTATGGGGAAGGTCACGTTTCACTGTAGGCCTCATTATGAACCTGAGGACCATAGGACAATTGATGATAAAATCAATTCAGGAAGTTTTTATATCGAAACTTAAAAAAACTTTTTAGTTTCATCCAAGTAACTTCAAATAATTATAGAATTGCTAGTTATTTAATGTTTTGTAACCACTAGAAACATACAGAATAAAAGTATACTAGAATAAGTGACATTTTGAGGTCACTATGAAAGCAGGCAATTTTTAACATATGATGTGTTGAACACTATTGGGATATTTGATGTCTCATTGCTGTTCTTTGAATTCTCTGTTTATCTAAGCCTGTGGTCATGCTCCCTAAGGAATGCTTTTAAAAACAAGAAGGCCAAAGGCAATAATAGCCACTGGTCTGTAATTATTTATCATGGCAAAAATATGATTAGTTTTGAAAGCCTGTCTAGTTAGAGAACTGCTTTAAACTTGTTTTTCTCTTGTGATTCTCAAAAAAGCAGTGCCCACTCATGGAATTCTTATCACTTTTCGAACCCAGGATTTAAGCCAAGTTGTATAACACAAGGAAAATATGTTGGGATTCAAGAAAGAAAACTGTGAACTCTAGATATTTAGGGCATCTAATCTTAGTTTTAAACAATTTGTTCGTTTGAAAAGGGGAGAGGCTAGACCATATTTTAATTAAAAAATGCAAAGATATAAAGTCATTAAATGAGCATTATCCATTCCTGGGTTAGTCAGGATCCTGTTAGTTTGCAGAAGCATCTTTATAGGTCCTTCATAGCACAGCATGTTTTTCCTATATGTACTTGGCTAATTAGTCTCCCATAGTGAATTTTAAAGCATATTGAGAGATTAGGAAAATTTTCTTGACTATTTCCTTGACTGGGTTCAAATTAGTGAATGATTCTAGAAGTAATTTCAATATGATTCAGATACTTCACATTTTATAGACAAAGGGAAAGGCTATTGGACTGTCATTTTCTTGTGTACAGTTGTCTTAAGCTGGAACTGACTTGACAATTAGAATAAATCAAAATGTTGACGATTGCATATGAAAGACTCTATGCTCCTAGAAAGACCCTTTGAAGAATATTTGAGATATGTTTTAATATATTTTAAAACATATTTAGAAATATATACAGATAAATATAAACATAAAATATGTTCTTTTAATATATTTTAAGATAAATATATTAAAAGTCACTTTTCTTCCAGTAGTAGCAATGACTATTGTGTTGAATCCACATGGCAAAGATCGTAATTTTAAAGTGTTAATTATTATCCATTCTCCTTAGACTGCACATAACTTTAGGTTGGCCAGTCTGGTAAAATTTAGCACTGTTAGGACTTTAGTTATTCAGGTAATTTATTTTATTAATATCTGCTATTTCTGTAGTATGCTCATTTAATTTTTCTGTATTTTGTATTATTAAAACAAAGGAAGTCTTTACGGACTTCCAGTATTTTGATGAATTCTATAGAATGTTGCAAAAGTTTCCAATATGGTAACATCTATAAACATATTGCCTTAGTAAAAGTGTACTGTGGTTTTATGTTGCTTTTTCTCTAAAAAAGAAAATCGATAATGCATTTTGTGGTCTTTTTAACAAAGATTAGATGAATTAAAATAATATCATTATTGCCTCAAAATGAAGTTATCTTTTTAACATTGATAAAGCAGCAGCATGATTATGTTCATATATGAACCAGTGATGTAATTTAGCAGCACGAATTTGGGAGCAAGGACTTAACACTCTATTTGACTGAAAAAGTATTGGCTTTATTTTTCTCATATTTTCTGATGGCCCCATTACTTACAACCCTGTTTTTATATTGGAAAAGGTAAACTGCCAACACTTGAGTACAATGGTAGCTATACAATTTCTATACAGGAGGGGTTTGGGGATTTAACTTAACGCTTTATTTTCATAGCAGACAGCCACATTGTTTTTTGAGCTGGCCTACTTGGGGAGTTGGCTGATGGAGGTTATGGAAGGCTAAAGCCACTCCTTGGCACTGCTACTCCTTACCCTTTCCGTGCTTTAAACTGTTTTGAGTTATACTGTTACCTTCTGAAGAAAGCAAAGTAAATCTTCTGTTCTAAGGAAGCAAATAGTATTTTTCAAATAGCGAGGGATACAAAGCTAACTTACGCAAAAGATCACATTGCTGAGTCTATTTAATTACATGTATGCAAATGGTGCTACTGTTGTACAAATTGCAAATGGTTCATAGCTATTCTTCAAAACAGTCTCAGCAGGAATATTTATATGGCAACCTGTTTAGCAGTTAAACTTACCTTAGGTGCTTTAAAGCAATTTCACTGAATTAAAGAAATGTTTAAATTTTAGCATATTTTAAGAGAAATGCATGTCTTCCTTTTCCCTCAATTAGCTCAGATTAGCGAGGCTGTACTATATACTTAATTCCAGTACTGCTGTAGGTACCTGGTAAAGGAGTAATTAATGTTGTACATTAGGTAAGAAGGAGCAATTGATTTTTGGTTCTATTTGGCTTATCTTTTCTGCTTAAGTGCTGATATTTAATTTGTAGTGAAAACTCTAAAACAGCTCTGTATTTTTATGTTTATCCTGTTCCTTGAACTAATGAAATAAACACATTTATTGATTTCAGAATGAGCTTTATTAATGTAGTTAATATACCTTACTAATGTTATTCCATGTACTTGGATTAGTACCATTATTGTTTATGAATCAACATTTTTTCTTTCAGTTCAAAAGAATACAGAAGCATTAGAAGAAAAGAAGACTGGGCCTACAAAGAAGAAAGTGAAAGAACTGAGAATTTTGGATCCCAAAACAGCTCAGAATCTGTGTATGTAATATTTTCTTCATATAATTGGTATAGGTAGTGGTGAAAGGGGTGGGAGCTGTTTAATGTATTTCATCAAAGTTGTAACCTTTTTAAACAGGCATATTTAGCATCTTCTGGAAACAAAATTCTGTGTAAACATGATTTGGTTGCCTTTTTGTCACTTAGCCGCCATGGAGAAAATTCTAATTCAACCTCCGTCAGACCAGATGAAACTTGTGAATAGTAAAGATTTGGAAAGTAATGATTATAATACACTGTTAGAGGACATAGTGAAACATAAGGCAGAACTGATAAAAAGTGATTTTTTTTTCCTTCTGTCTAGACCTGGGATTGATAGTTTTAGAGTATTCACTAGTTACATTGGGCAAATCCTTCTACTGCTATTCCTTTATGTCTGAAGTAATTGTGATGTGAGCTACTTAAATTGTTAACCTTAACTGCATTTAAAAACTGGTTTGTGAACCTTTAAGCCTTTAACAAACCGGTCAGCCATTAAGTATACTTTTGTTAAAGCAGATGGACAGTTAAACCCATCTTCATTTATGTAAGCCTTTAAGTTTTAGCATACTTTTCCCTCTGTCTTGAATTCAGAATTTTTGTTCTGTCACTACAGTAGACTGTGTTTAGATTTTGCTGATACTAAAACACTATGCATCAGAAATTTCCACACATTGAGCATTTCTAATTGCACAAAGTAATACCATGGGAGTTTATTTTGTTAAAGAATGTGGTATAGGGAATCATTACAATAAACAACACATCATTCTCATGTCAGTAGAAATGTTGCTATCAGAAAAGCAGTTTACCAGTAGCTGTTGTGAATGTGTAAATGTACTTATTTGATAGTACATTTTCAAAGTTGATATTCAGTACTTTTCTTTAAAACACAGTATGATCTCAATTGCTGGTTGATTTCTGTCAACATTATTCTTTTAGATTGTGGAGATCTCATTTGCTCTTATGTATAAGGTAATCATTTGCCTATAGAGTAAGGATTTTGTTTTCTTTTCGTATGGCTGAAGGCATATAGACCTTTTCATGAAAAAAAAAAAAATTCTTAGAAATGTTCAAGTTCTGGGTGCCAGGCATGGTGGCTCATGCCTACAATCCCAGCACTTTGGGAGGCCAAGGCAGGTGGATCACCTGAGGTCAGGAATTTGAGACCAGCCTGGACAACATGGTGAAACCCTGCCTCTACTAAAAATGCAAAATTAGCCTGGTGTGGTGGCGCATGCCTGTAATCCCAGCTACTTGGGAGGCTGAGGCACGAGAATCACTTGAACCTGGGAGGCAAAGTTTGCAGTGAGCAGAGATCGTACCATTGCACTACAGGCTGGGCAACAAGAAAGAAACTCTGTCTCAAAAAAAGAGAGAAAAAAAAAAAAAAAGAAACGTTCAAGTTCTGGTGATAAGAACACATCTGTGTTCTTTAAAAAATATGTTTAATGGAACATGTTGTTGCAAGTACCTTCTGAATAATCCTTAGCTATTCTAGGTTTAATTTGCTGAATTATTCTAATATGATATGATAGATTTCCACTTAAGAAAAAGTTGGCAGGGGAAATTGTGAGTCAGTATATAAAGTAAGCAATAGTATACCACAGGAATATAAGCAGGAATGCAAAGCACACTGATGATTTAGGCACTTTAATTTTTTTCTTATGTGGGAGAATTGCGGAGTAGATGGATATAATTTTTTATTTGGTTATTTTATTGTCTTTCCTGAGAAATACTGTGTTGGATGCATCTGACAATCTCCACACTAAATTCTTCATTAAATAAAAAGGTCGACTTGAAATAAAATCTCTTAAGTTTTCATGGGTCATTTTGTGTATCATCCTAATCTAAAAGGCATAAGCATATAGTCATTAGTAGGAATTTTATTTTGTGTGTAAATATGCACTAACTATAAACATTAGAGCCCGAGAAAATAGGCCATTTTGTCTAAATGGATAGAGTGAGTAGTCCATCGAATGGAACAACTTTTGTTTGTTCATAATTCTGTAAATTAGTATTAGTGACAAGTTTCGTATTTTGAGTCTATGAAATGAAAATCAGGCATTTATTAGGACTTTAACATGTTGATGCTGTTCTACTTTTAATAAAATCAAATTTTATTTTAGCCATCTTTCTGGGATCATATCGCATGCCATATGAAGAGATAAGAAACATTATTCTGGAGGTTAATGAAGACCTGCTGAGTGAGGCTTTAATTCAGGTAACTTGGATATTTTCCTTCTGAAATTCATTTTCACAGATTTTTTTGGACTATTCTCTTCTCAATGGAGTTGTAAGAAAATTCTCTTCTATATTTAGATTTTTAAAAAGACATTGAGTAGTTTAATAAAATCAGGAATATCTAGCTGTGTTGCTAGTAAGAGGACTCAGTATAGAAAATCTAGGTTCTAATTCTGTTTCTGCCACTTATAAGCTATATATCCTTTTCAGTATAAGCATATGCATATATAGACATATCATTGTCCATTATTCACTGTACATACAATTGCATGTACTTTATCACCAAAATGGCTCCATTAAGTATATATTGTTCTTAAAATTTTATGGGTGAAAAAGCTGAGGGGTCAAGAGGTTAAACAGCTTTCTGAAAATTAGTGGGTATTTAACATACCCATTGTTAAGCTGAGTAACTTTTACCCAACTCTGTTTGGGTACATAACATGTATTGCTGATTATGTCCAGCACTGTCTGTATTTTTTATTTCATTGAATCCTACAATAATCCTATGAGATAAGCACTATTATTCTCATTTTACAAATAAGGAAACTGAGGTTTAGAGAGATTGCCCAATTTCACAAAGCTTGTAAGTGGTGTAAGTGGCAAAGTACCAGAGCTGGGATTCAAAACAATGTCTATCTTGACTCTAAAGCCGTTATATTATTCTGCCTTCCATGAACAAACTGTTGAATCTTTCTAAACCTCTATTTTCTCATTTGAAATTACAGGGTCATTGTGAGGATTTAACCAAATAAAGTGCTTTGTATAATAAAGGACTATATGGATCTAACACATTATTTGAATTCTTAGTATGTCTGGCCCTGTCTGGTTTAATTTTTGAAAGGAATAACTGTAAAGATTTTTGTGGAAGCATATAGTCATTGTAGTTTTTTCTGTTTTTCTTTATTTTGTTGTTTTTTGTTTTTGAGCCATGCAGTTGGTTTTGAGTTTTAGAATACATCACATAGGGCCGGACGTGGTGACTCACGTCTGTAATCCTAGCACTGTGGGAGGCTGAGGCAGGCAGATCACGACGTCAGGAGATCGAGGCCATCCTGGCCAACATGGTGAAGCCCTGTCTCTACTCAAAATATAGAGAAATTAGCTGAGTGTGGTGGTACACGCCTGTAATCCCAGCTACTCAGGAGGCTGAGGCAGGAGAATCATTTGAACCTGGGAGGTGGAGAATGCACTGGGCCAAGATCGTGCCACTGCACTCCTGCCTGGTGACAGAGCAAGATTCTGTCTCAAAACAAAACAAAACAAAACAAAACAAAACAAAACAAAACAAAAACATCAAATAGTTAAATAGCTTATTCTATAACTTTAACAGTTTTGCCACATTCCCTGCAAACTCTGTAAATCTCAGAGAACCTGCATACATAATTTGAGCAAGTGATGTCTCTGTGGAAATCTCCTCTATTTTGGATTGTAGGCTTACATTAAAGTTTACCTCATATATATGTCTTCAATCTAGGCATGATTTTTTAAAATAGGACTAAGGTTTAATAAGATGACCTATGTCATCTCTTTCTTGCTTTTAGACCTCCATTCCTTTTTCTAAGCCTTTATCTCTTTATCTTTTTCACGAATCTGTACATGTTACCCATATCCTGCTTTACCCACCAATTTCATGGCTTCTGTTTGCTGAGGACTTTTTAAAAGCCAACTTGCTTTCCTTCTCAGTGCCAGATACTTTAAAGTTTCTTCTCAGTCCTTACCCTTTTTCATCCAAACCCGTTTTCTTAGTTTTGCTTGTGGGAAGAAAACGGTTTAACATGTAGTATAATATACATAATTGGAATTGTGCTACTTGGGTACGGGTATAGGGCCTAAGTGGTGAGTAACTCAGCCAAGTTTTTAAGGTTAGTATTGCTTTTATCTAGACAAATAAAATGGCTGAGTATCTTCTGGTAAAGAGGATGCATGCTCCTGGGTAGAAATAATTACATGATTTTCTAGTTCCCAAGAGAGATGGCTTCCCTCTGTCAGGAGAAAAGACTATAATCAGTAGCACCTTTTTCTCCCCCCAATTCCAGAACATTTGTTTCAGTGATGGAAAAGTAACATCAATTTGCCATTCATATGAGCTGTTTACCATTTATGTCTAATTACCATGTAGCACATCGATAATGCATGGCATTAAATGTGTATCATCAGATTAACTTTGTTGTAAGTTCTATTTGATTACAGTGCTAAACTCCATCCATGCATAATTATAGTTTTTTGCTCATGTAGCATAGTTGTCTCCTCATAGCAACAAAAACAAACAGCAATTAATGATACGTCACTTCCCAGAGACTTGAATTAACAGTAGTAGTATTTTCTCTTCCAGTATGGGTCAATAGGCTCTTGCTGGGCAGACAACTAATAGAATTTAGTTATTTGGCAGGATAATTGTCTTACTTAAAAAAAAATCAGAAAAACTTTTATTTAATCAGCAAGATCCAGCACCAAGTTGAAGATTATTAATAAACATCAATTTTCATTTTATTTCAAAATATCTAAATTTAAGCTAGAAAATGAGTTCTCTATGTGGGAAAAATTGAAATGACCTAAAATACTTGCAGTAGCACGTAGAAACATTTAAAAGTACACCATATCCTGAGATTGTCGAGGAGTTTTTAATGTATGTAATTATGAGTTACTGTCAAATAATGTGTACTAAATTTTTGTGACTTTTAGAATCATTATTCTAGCCTACAAAATTTGTTTCAGTATAATTTAATTTGATCTACTGAGAGAAAAATCTAAGACCAATCAGTCAGTGCTTTTTAGGATATCAGTGGTAAAACAAATATGTATATAGAGCATTGACAGAGTAATGAAATGAGCAGTTTGAAAAAAGTGGTGCATGTGTGAAGGGAAAAATAAAATTATGTTCTATTTGAGGTCATTAGTGCATGCAAATGATTCTAGGTAGGGAGTTTATACTTATATTCTTAAGGAATATGTGAAAAAAAAGATGATCAGCATACAAGATAGTATATTATTGCTGCAGAATAATTTGTCAAGATATGATAAAGCATGGGTTGGTAACCTGGAGTTCAAAGCCCTCTTTGGGGACCCATGGAGAGAATTCAGGGGGTCCTGAACTTGTATGTGAAGAATATTACATCTTTATTTTCATTAGCTTCTAATTAATATTTAGCATATTATTTAAGAGTGTAGGCAACAGACCAAAGTAGTATTAACAGTACCTCTAACTTTTTCACTAATAGAAATAATAAATATTTTCATATCACATTACAGTTGTGGCAGATATCTTGAAATACTGTTACAGTCATTAATACTTCAAAATTACAGTACTTATTAGAGCTGTGACTAGAGATTATTTTTAGTGCTTTAATCAAGCACTTCTATCATTGTATCACTATTTTGGTAAATATGTTGATAGCTATTTAAATGTAATTGGTATTTTATGTAATCCTATTTATTTTATTTTATCCTGATATAGAGGTTCACAGAAGGTGAACTGTAGGTTAGGGTGGGCTGTGGTTAAGGTGGTCTTCCTGGAAGAAGTGTTCTAGACTTTGAAACACTAGTAGGATTCAGTTAGAGAGGGCTAGGATAAGAGAATGGTGGCCAAAGGCTTGAGGTATATAAAGGATAATGTCTTTATTTTTCTGGTATAGATAAGAGGTCATATAGGGTAGCAATGAGAAAGAGCATATAAAATATTAGTAACTTGGTGGTGGTCATATTGTAGAGGCACACAGATAGCAAGTTGGTGACTCACAGGTGCTCACGCTCTCTACCTCTCACTTTCTCTCACCTATGTTTTATTTGGCCTTTCTGGTGCCTAATTAGTGAAATTTTAATGTCACACACTCTCCAGTTTGCCACAGATCCCACCACTCCCTATTGCATTTTACTTACTCTGACTCATTCCTAACCCCTATATACACCAGAAGTTTTGATCCCTGGTAGACAACATGAATGCTGAGCTATTGAGTTTGGTCATGGTCAAATTGTGTGCTTAGGAAAGGTACTCTTAGCTGCAGTATGTCAGATGGCTTGATGTAAAGAGACTTGACATAGGGAGATCATTGCAGTTTCAAGCATAAGGGACATCATTGCAGTTTCCAGCGTAAGGTGTAATAAAGCCCTGACTATTTCAGAAGCAGGACAAAAGGGAATTTGGGTAAATAAGAAATTTTTAAAGAATGATTAATTGAAAAATCCTGGTAGTAGAGATAATGGTTGTAGCCGCGACACCGAGAAGCAAATCAGGTAGGGGAGAAAATACTTTTAGGGCAAAAGAGAAAAATTTTACAAATAACATTACATTGGAAAATGTACTGGAGGTCAGAATAGAGGCTGAGACTGAAAATAAGAATTTTTGGAGTCATTTGCAAAGAAGTGACTGTTGGAGTATCAGGACCAATGAAGTTCTTAAGTTTCCTCATGAAAAATGTAACAAATGGAAAGTTAAGGACTGCATATCTGGGGACCGTACAAGTCAAGGGGATGGGAGGTATTAGAGAAATCAGAGCAAAAGGAGTCAGCATATCAGAGAGAAGGCCAGGATGCTACAGTGTATCATCAAAGCCAACACAAGAGGCTTTTAAAGAGTGATGAATAAGAGAAGGAGATTGGGAAAAGAGATATTTCCTTCATTATGTCAGCTTATAATGACTTATTTAGTTTAAATAGCTATTTTTCTATAGTTTTTTCTTGAAACAGTCTGCACTACATACCAGACACCTGTATTCCTTAAGCAAATGTTCTGTTTATTTGTGGTATTTTGGTCTCTGTCTCCCTTATAAGGGACATCTGCATTCCTACTGGGCATGCAACTGTCTGGTGTCCTATCTATTGTTCTTCTTCCACTTGCATTGTTTGTTTGTTTGTTTTTTGACATTCCCTTCCTTCCTTTCTTCCTTCTCTCCCTCCCTCCTTCCTTCCTCTCTTCCTGCTACTTTCTCTTACATTCTTTCATTCCCTTCTTCCCTCATTCCCTTCTTCCCTCCCTTCCTTCCT